CGCAAGTATTTAGAAGAATGAAAATTTATTAATAATAATAGAAGCAACGGCTGTTTAAGTAGCCTTACAAAGAGTAACCTAGGAATGGAAAAACAGCCCACGTTTAACAAACCTATTACGTGGTAACAGACTAAGTCAAAACAAACAAATACTCCCTAAACAATAGGGATTTATTAACCAAGCAGTAACACACAACCAATAACTCTAACTGCAACCTAACAATTCCTCCCTTAAACTGAATGCAGCTTGCAATCAGTTTACACATGGTTATGGACAAACACCTAACATACTTCGCAACTTCACAATGCATCCAACTTGAGAGGTTTTGTCATCACATCTGCAATTTGTTCTTGACTGTTGCAATGCACCATTTCCACAGTTCCTGCTTTTATAAGCTCACGAAGAAAATGGAAACGAACGTCTATATGCTTGCTGCGTCCATGCATCACTGGATTCTTTGCAAGTTTGATTGCTGAGCTACTATTACAGTGAACAACTGTAGGCCTATCTTGCTTTTTACCAAGCATCTCAAAAATCCTTCTCAACCATACTACCTGACATGCACAAGAGGCAGCAGCAATAAACTCTGCCTCAATGGTGGATAGAGTTACTATCGGCTATTTCTTTGATGACCAGGACACCGCCCTTGAACTGAATAAGAAAACATAACCTGAGGTGCTCTTCCTGTCTTCTTGATCTCCAACAGTCACTATCCGTATAAACATTGTTTTGTCATAAAGAAGATTGCTACTAGAGAAATATATAATAGGAATAACATTGTTTTGTCATCCTCAATCAATTACGTTTTATCACGCGTGATAAAAATTTCACATAACAAAGTGTGATTGAACATGAATAGCAAAATAAGGCTATCATCGTAACATGCAACTTCTTTTCCATTACTATAGTACGCAATCAGGATTCAGAATGGAGCATGGGAATGCTAGCTAGCATCATGTATGAGTCATGCTACCCTAAGCTGCCACCCAAAATACCAATTGTGGCTTGGCATTGTGCAAAATATTACACTCGAATGCCACAAAAGTAGAAAAAGGCAAAAGAAGAGTGTTTGAGGTATGCTCAATGCCCCTTAGCTGCAAACTTACACATTACAGCGCTCACTGGGCTCCACATTCATCCCTCACGTTTATCCTCCTCACAATAATTTCTACACGTGAGCATCCCAAGTTCCAACAAAGGCTAAGGACCAAGACTACCAGATCTCAAGTGCATCAAATTTCTATGCAACATAAGCTCAAGTCAACTTCTAACACCTGTTATGGACAATGGAAGAAAAGAGAAAATTCTGCAATATACAAGAAATATACAAGAATATACAAGAAATTATACAAGAAATTATTGAGTGGTATTACGAAACTGTTAAGGGATGTTATTATTTGAAGTGTTATGTGTTATAATATAAGTGAATTGGTTATATCACGTGATGATATACTTAATATAAAAATTACTTAGTTGTATACATCTTTTCTCATATAACACATAACTAAATTATTTTTGAAGAACGAACATAACTATCGATTTTTTTTTAATCAGCTCTCTCTCTCTCTCTCTCTCTCCATGCTAATTAATTTGGCAAACTTATTTCATCAAGGTCATCCAAAGATAAGAACACCTCGTCCAAGCATGAAAGCTCTGTTCCATCATTGTCGTCGTCATCTTCATCACGCTCGTAGACTCGACAAAGAACGTATCCACTAAATTCCTGAGAAAATTTGTAAACCAAAATATCAATAAAACTCCATTTATTTTATGTCATGCACATTCTCCTTTCTTTTTTATTTTTTGTTTTTGGCATGCATAGGTAAGAAAAATGTCATATCTACGCAATTATTTTACTTGATGACGTGATAAATAAGGTACATGACCTTTCCACGCATGCTACCATGTTATAGAGTGAAATGACTAATTAAATCAAATTAATAATTAATAATGTCATTATAAGTAGTGATTGAGACATGCATTATTAACTGTTTTGAGATGCCCTCTTCTTTTGGATGATGATCTTGTTGTGGTGGAAGAAGAAGAAGAAGCTCCATCTCCTGCTGAGAGTGGAGAGAGACGATACTCACGCATTATCCAATTAGTTTTAATGCCAGAATTTGGAGCTTCTCCTCAGTGGCGGATCCAGGATTCAAAAGTCAGGTATGCGAAATTTACCTTAAAAACTCGACGGTACGAGTGATCCAAATCATTGTTTCCCTTTTTTTTTTAAGTTTGAGTGGGCTATAACACATGTGGGTAGTTTTACACGGACTGGGTAGGCAAAGGTTTACACTATCACATGTGATGGCTAGAAATAACCTTGTTTATATATAGGTTTTTTTTTAAGTGAAAAAATGTGGGGTAGGCAGCTGCCTACCCTGCCCTGGCTGTAGAACCGCCACTGCTTCTCCTACGTAAAAAGCCAAATATCTTTTCATCCAAACTTTGTGTGTAGAATTACAAGAGCTTCTTGTGATCACTGGTTCCTCAACGCCTAATGCCTTCCAATACCCATTGCTTGTAACCCGATTCTGCGTCCTCCTGCTGTAGAAGTACCACTTATTTCCCTCACCTAGAGCCTTACCTATACATTTTTATATGCACACAGTGCACAGATCAAGATACTTATATACGCGAAAACATGCTCTCTAATTTGGCAAGACAAGATTTAGGCTGTCAGAGTTGTAAAATACAAAACAACTAATTTGAATGATGGCTGATGTGATTATTTGACATATTGTATAACTCTGTATTCTATCTCAAAATGTTAAAAAATATTAATATTTTATTAATATTTTCAATGGGTTTAAAAAACAATAAAAGTTGGTGGGGGCTAGACGAATAAAAAAACTCTGATGACACCAATTAAAGACAACAAACAGTAATTAAAGCTAAGTGGGGTCAAAGAAAATATAAAATTCAAAATAAGGAAATAACGCCTCAGTATGCTGCCGTCAATTTTGACGTCTTCACTGCCTTCTTTTTCATGCCAACAATGACAACTCGGCTAGATCTCCAGGCAACTTCAATTGTTACCGTTTGCCATGCCACCTGTCATTTAACTGGTCAGTTGGAGATGCTCTAACAAACTCAAGAAAAATAAATAATTTTTTGACCAAGAAAATACCTTAATTCTCAACCTAAATTATATAGAATAATCTACCAAGATGTGATTGAAAATGAAATGAATGTGTTTTTTTATAGCTAATGGCTCCTAAATAATTCGAAACTCGTCCAAGATGGCTCCCGAGGAGTATATTGAATCTAAAATATCTAGAAGAGTTCTTTATGATTGCAAAAGAGGCGCGAGAGATGTTAGAGAGAGAGAGAGAAAAAAAAAGTGTGATTTTATTTGAACCTCACAATTTGTTCTTTTGATCCTCACATTAATTTTAAAATTGAATAACTTATTTTATCCTTATCCATAATTACCATTAAGGACAAAAAACATTTAAAATAGAATTTAAATTTACTCAATACACCACACATACGTTCATGCAACCCTAGTTAGACTTTTTTTACAAACCATCATATCTTCCTACAACCCTAACAGGGTTTATACGCTTATATTGGTGAAAACATACATAGTAATTATTTATAAGGGTGAGACTGAAGTTAGGGAGGCTTCGAATGAGGTGTGAGTTAATTTTTTGGCGTTTTTCAAGGTTAGGGTTACATGGTGGTTGCTGGTTACATGCGGTAGACCAGTACCAACCACGATAGGCAAATTCGATGGCATTCCACTAAAACATTGGACCTATTTCGATTGTATTCGATTGACTATTAACTTAAGATGTGGTGCAGATCCACCGTAACGTGGAAAGGGGTTTGGTATCATATGACCGAATTTTACCTATTATTTGGTGGTGACGAATCAAAATATATATATATATTTTTCAATAACTTCTTGTTGATCACAAATTTAATGTGAACTATTTTGACCTTACTCATATTGAAGGAATAAAAACAAGGTGACGCCCCTACTGAAGACAACAATGTTAGAACAAAATGTGTAATAGACTATATTGATCAATTCACAACTTACGAGGTAATCATTTTGAGTATCTTTTTTTTTTGTCTGAAATCCTTTTTAGTATCATTAACGTGGTATTAATGTTTCAAATTTTAACTTCAAATAACATGAGTTTAATGTGTAGATATTCAAAATTAGAGATGCATTAATTAGATGGACTTGTGCAGTAGGAAAAATGAAAAAATAAAGGAGAAAGTGAAAAAGCTAGCGTTGAAAACAAACGCTGCTGAGACTTAAAATGAGAGACGTTACTCTCATTTTCCCAATTGGGTTATAGCTTGGCAATCAAGTCACGAGATATTGTAGTTTTCTAATTGTATTAGGATTTACCGTTGACTACAACTACAGAAATTCCGTCCAACATGCCATTTAAATTGTACAGGGTTCTATCGTGCAAAAAGTAACTGCAAAAATTACGCTGCAATTCCATTTAAAATGTATTTTAACCTTTTCTATTCCTCTCAAATTAAAAATTACATTAATTATGTTTTTCTTTGTTTAATAATTAGTACGAATGCTCAACATAGAAGCATGGTCTATTGGGGTACCATGTTGGGGGTAATCCTCTTAAGAGGCTAATCTTGCTACTCTATGTCTCCTCATTGAGGGTCTGGGATGCACTCTATCAGGTCGAGATGATGCAGCCTCAGTAGTACATCTACGAGTCCTTTTCATATCTGAAAAATAATATTAAGTACAATCTCATTAACGAATTCGATAGACTACCACTGAAAAACATAAATAAATTCGGTAGACTACCACTGAAGCACTGAAACAAATTCGTTGGACTACCATTAAAATAATGCAATGATTTCAGTGGTAATCTACCGAAAGTTACGGTTATTTCGGTAAAACCAGGTTCAACCCCATACATTCATTTTCAACAAAATCACAACCATGAATTAATATTGGGGAGCTTGATAGGGTATCATATCGAAATTATTTAATATATTTCACAAAAATTAATCAACATGTTTGTTAGTTACTTTTTTGCTTGCTTGCTTTCAATCCCATTAGTGCTAGTTGAGGCCTTTGAAGTAATTACTCTAAGACAAACATGATTAGAAATACAGATGTGCCTTATGAACTTCATCCAACATAGTACTATATATGTCGATGGATATTAAGCTGTGGGATTGGAAGATGGTTTATACATAGTTAGAACAAGCATATCAAATTTTCTTTTATTTCCTTCTTTTTTTCTTAGTTTCAAGCGGATCGACTATCATTCAAAATCATTGATTTTTTTTTACTCTATTCACATAATTGGGCTGGTAGATGTTGCCACACAAAGGTTTGTTTCTGAGGTCGCAACTGATTCTCTTCAGTAAGCCACTAAATTCTTCTCATCTTGGCTCATGACACAAGTTCACAGGCATGCACATATGTAAAAATCAAATTGCTTGCTGAGTTAGGTTTATATGATTGTACTTGCGGATTTGGATGCAGATGCAAACGCTTAGAATTGATGGTGGATGTTTAAAAGTGACTGTAAGTGGTTCATATTAATTTCTTTACTTTTATTAAGTTCTTATTTTTCGTTATTTATTTGAGTTGTTAATTTATTTCAAAATTGGATGCTCGACTCAAATAAATTATTATACTGAGGGGAAGCCAATTGATCCTAATATACCCAATTGGTTCTCGGGAAGGATAGTAAAACCATAATGTAAACAATATCCGGCAAATTATCACTTGTTCGATCCAAATGAATTATCAATAGCCGATCAGTGGTTTTAGTCAACCCGTCTCTTTAACAACCCCCTGCATGTAATTGTCTATGGTCAAGCCACTGTACAAATCGCTAAGGACAAGGATGTTAACAAAGTGTATAAGTGCAAAATTATCTTTATGGAGCCTGCCCATACAACGCTTGAAGGTTGGGCTTCTCGATTTCCACTAGTAGATGCAACGTACAATTGCTTGACAGATCCTTTTCGGAAAATCTTAAAGTAAGTTGCCCCTCCACTTATATGTTGGATTTTGAGATATCTTGGTGTTATTATTCAACTAGTACACACACACACAAGATAAAAGAGAGTAGATAAACAAAGAAGAAATCTCTTTGAAATTATTGTCTTGGTATGCTAAACATGAGAAGTCAAGGTTGATTATATCACTCAGCCAAAACTAGGAAAGTCATGCATATAAGAGTGATTATGTGGCTTCATCTAAACCTTAACAAATAAAGTAGCATTAATGCAACCAAAGACAAAACAAGGTTATGTCCAAAATGTTTTAAGACCTATTTGACCGAAACTTAACTACACTGTTACAACAAGTACATTAGTCATAGTTTTAACAATATATGTATTATTACTTAAGTTTTTTTTCTGTTAATATTTTAATTCTATTATCGTAGGGATATTCTCGAAATGATCACATGTCCTGGCGGTCATGGAAATTTGACTCCACATAACATTTACATATTAAACAATCGAGCCAAATTTGCTAAAATGAGCAATATATCAGAGGATTTTAGTGAGTTTGATCGTATGGTCTGCTCATTTTTCTGCCCTTCGAGCCAAATTCATGAAGAATTAAGTAGATTTCTGATCTTTCTCCAACGCCGGTAAGTAACAATCTATATATTTTCTTTTATTCATTTTTAACTTAGTATTATAGTAGTTTTTTGGGGTATAAAGTGATTAAGAGCAAGTATGGCCTGCAAGTGAACGGATGGGACTCCAAAAGGATTTCCTATAGAAATAGTTATAACCCTTGGATAGGTAGTACGAAAGTCCTGGATAAATTTGAAGCATGTTGCTGCTTTAAGGTTGGAAATGAAGGTAGAGTGAGATTTTGGGAGGAGGTGTGGCTGAGGGTTACTACCTTACGTGATCAATTCCCTTGGGCCTTGTTGCTTCCACCTTCCTTTCATGTTCGCTCGTCTTAGGCAGTAAATTTCATTTTCTCTCAAAAAAATTATAATAGTTTTTTGTGTGATTTACTTTTTCTTTTATGTAAGCAATCTACGTGGTGGGTTACAAGGCCACCCCCGTGCTCATGGATGCCAAAGATCGGATGAGGTACAGAGCTGATGCTTGCAAGAAAGTAAAGGATTGTGCTCGTGGCGTGCAACACATGATTGAAGATGACTTGAGGCATGCACTTCCGAGTACAGGAAACTGGGTTAACAATATTGTACAAAAGGGTCCTCGGTCTGTCTTGTTTAGCATCATGCACTATAAGACAACTAAGATTCCCCCCCAGCTACAATGTGGTGCCAAAACATCTTCATCCCCACCCCACTGGTTACACGATAAGTTCGTTGGACTTCCTAAGATACAACCATAACGTTGATGCGCATCCGGTATAAATAGCAAATCATATAAATATATTTTTTCCTTTAATTTTTATTTAGTTTCACTTTTTAAATTTTTATTGTGTGTACTTATAGCCCAGACGATTGAGTAGCGCTAAAACAGATTTGGCACTAAATAATTTGGTGCCAAATTTTTTGCCATGTTTGTTCGAGGTGCTTGCCTTAAACAATATATATTGTTGAAGGTATATAATATATATAGGTTTATCTTTTTCTTAAGCAGGTTTTCTCTCTTAAAGTGTGTGGTAAATGTACCTATGTGCTTAGTTAATTTACATCCCTTAATTCTGAGTTCTTCTATCATCACGTGTAGATCTAATTGACTAAGAGGATGTTGGCGATGATGATGCTAGAGACGAGGTTAGTGTCTTTTAGTTGTTTATGCTAATTAAATTTTACATGTAGTATCAAACCTGATCATAATATAACCAAAAATCTATTATTTGGTGAATCTAAAATTAACGACTATATGACCATGGCATTCTTTTAGGTTTCGTTTCATTTTTCATCTTAATGTTTTCATTGACATAAGTAATTTGGCCTTTTTTTTATGAGCATGGATCATCACTCCCTGTATTTCTTATCCACATAAGAAAAAAAGAGTTTGATGTTAATTATTTTGAATCATATTGGGTAAATGTAGCTATGTGCTTAGTTAATTTACATTATTAGTCATGAAGCATTTGACTATTTACATAGC